TCCTAGTATGCTTGAAGGATGGTAAGTAATTTGCTCTGATCAAAACTGTATTAACTCTGCGATGCAATGATTCTAGCTCGTTTCGATTAAGTGTGTTTTGTGGAGTAATCTGACTAATTGGATTTAGTAAATCTAGTGGAAATGTTGAATCTGGTATATATTGTTGATTTGGGTGAGATTTGCATTTGCAATTCTAAATAAAAATTTGGTTTTTGATTTGCATCTTTCGACTTGCTAGTGTGTATGATTACATGACTATGACTAGAATATGTTGTTGTAAATTATTAGCCTTTTGTGTGTAATGTTTGCTCTATTGAGTTGGTTTGACTGAGAATGATGATGATTTTGTTGCAGTCTTGCTGCTCTGTGTTGTTGCTGTCTCTTGGATGCTTGCTTCTGAGTGGAGCCTTTCCCCCTGCGAAAATCGGATTGTTTGTTGGTTTTGCTGATGAATCTCTTTCGTTGTTATGTTTTTTTCTGCTGAATCATAATTAGACTTGTGTTATCAAATTTCTCATGTTAGCTTATTTGGATTTTTGCCAATGGGGATGTAAATTGTTGGTTGGTAGACCCAAATTTAATACTCTGCATTGTATTGGCTTTTTTTCACAGCTTCAAACGTATTCAAAATCTCATAATCATCATATTTAGTCAATTTCTTTCCTCAAAAAATCCAGTTATTTGAAATATTTACTCTGTTTTCAAAAGATTTCATATGTTACAAGATCAACCGGAGTACTTAATCTGAAAACAATTATAGAGAAATTTTGAATTATGCAAAAACATTTTAATATTAGAAAATTATATTTTCTTAAGAAATTGGTGAAATTTGGATTTTATTTATAAGTTTACAATATAGTCCACACAAGCACATAGGCATCTACAAAACTCAAAACCTATATTCAGCAAAAATAAGAAACATAGAGAATGACCTTATATGTCTACTTGTATAGTCAACAAAAGTAGAAAGGAGAATTGCATCTTATTTTGCTCTAACGAAATCCAGATGTATCTATCAAAACTAGTATTACATGTCATCTTCGATCAGAAATGGCTTCTTCTTCTTCTTCAATATTTGTGTATCGAAACGTGATTGGTTACTCGTCTTTTCACGGATAAGCAGAGACAAAGAAGCACGAGTTTCATCAATCACTACTAACCCATCTCTCTTTTGGGTTAATATCTCAACCTTTGGATTAACAACGACAAGGCTTGTTGTAGCCGGAGGAGAAGCTCGTGGGTAGAAGAAGTCGGTCGGGAAGAAACTGTATTGAAGTCCAGCCATTTCTTACTTTTAGTGTTTTTTCTCTTTTGTGAGTTTTAGGTTTGAAGAAACTTTGTTTCTTTGTTATGAGACTATTTATTGGCAAAGGAGAGAGAGAGAGAGCTGACTTTTACATAATGGGAAAACTTTGGGGTGTAAATGTAAAAGTTTTTTAAAATGGGTTCTATATTCTGAAAAAACGTGGGATTCTTTTTTGTTCGGTACGCGAATTGGTTAGTAGCATAAATCAGGATATATCCGAATATTTTAGAATATTGGGCGGTGATTGATTTGTTAAAGAATTCTATAGAGTCAAATCTAAACACTTCACTCGAAACAATATAATACTCCTCCGTTTAAATTTAATTATTAATCTGG